CTCACTAGCCGCAGCGTGCTCCCTCTGCCGGTTGCTACGCTAATTTCAATGTTCGGTTTCTTGTTGAACACCCTTCGTATCACATTAGGGTTCAACGAAGGGATTCACTGGGTGGGCACTGAGTCTGCGTCTTGCAACTGGGTTGCAGATATGAAACAGATATCAATCGACAGCGACTCTAATGTTCGGGGATAAGCTTCTTTCCAGTCGATTAGCAACAAAGATCACAAGTTGAAGCATACTAGTCTTAGCGAGGATTGAGGGCTCCAAATCAAAACTACTCAGCCAAGTTTCCGGTTATGCTGGTCAAATACTTGTCTGCGTAACAGGAGCGACCTTCTGAGATTGCGCGTGCGCTGAAAATGAAAAACCAACGGTCAACAAAGCAAGGTGTTGACCAGTATTTTCAGCTTAATACTGCAGATAAAACTGATCTTGAAAAGGATGTTAAGGATGAAAAACAAAAGAATGGAAATAAAACTACATGGCTTTGTCTGTAGAATCCGCTCTACAGCAACCCCTCCCCCCCACATGCGATACAGGAGATACGGAGGCGTTGTCTGTCAACTGTGACGGCCCATCATCAGAAAACTTGCTTTATTTTATCGAAAACTTCTGTTGTCGTCTTTCGTTTCTTTAAGTTTCCAGAAATACACTGTCATTCGTAAACCTAAACACGTCCATTTACCGTAATCAATTAACTTCCATTAATTACTATTTCTGGAGCATCCGTCGTGACTTCGGTTTCTATGGAGTCAGCTTGAGCCATGCCATTCACTATGATCGTATCAGAAGTGGAGGGTACTTGTGTTGTTATCCCCATCATTGCACCCCAAAACACGTTCCGTTTTTGTTTATACTTAACAGGCAGAGATACCCTGAGCTAAGATTAGAACTCGGCACAGAGTGGTTGGCGGCCATCGCCATAATCGACAGACTACTGAGTTGCGCGATTAGCGTTTGACCTAGCCAGTAGAATTTGAACGTTGGGTTAGATGATGATATCATTTACTACTGAAATTTATAGGAATGACAAACTGTATTCAAATGGGAGGGTAACAAACCGTTTTTCATGTGATACCAGTTTACTTCCCACGCATACAACCGCATTTCATCCTCAAGTGACAATCTACCTGAACTAAACACCCTTGATACAGTGCAGTACTAGTGTTCCACCTCTTCACAGACAATTCGTGGGGACTTCTTGAACTTGCCTTGTTAGAAAAATGTTTGGTCAGGATGAATTCAATGACAAGAGCATTCCGTCGATTGATCGTTCGTCAATATCAGCACGATATCAAGACTTATGGTTCGTTTGAATATTTTATGTAAATAACTTGTGTGCTGTCATATAATAGCTCATAATAGTATCATACCGAGTAATGCATTTGGGGAGGATTAATGTTCGAGTTAACCGAATCATTGGGGACGAATGGTTCTTTCGTAGTTTGCCGAGATTAACTAGGATAGTAGCTGCTGTGAATCTAGTAGAGAAAGTTGTGCTTCACCCGAACTGAACGTTTCAGCTGCAGGAATGTTCGTTACTAGGCCAGACTACATTGTTAATTATTTACTTAGGGACTTGTGCTAAGTAAGCTAGTTAGCCAGTAGACGAAGCTTTTGCACCCAAAACAAACAGATCTCGAAAATACGCAACATCCTCAGTTTGTTGTTTCTTCGCAGTAGATTCCAAATCAGATAGCTCTTCATATGTCTGGAAGAGCACTGAAAGGAGATTTCGACTTATTTTGTCTCATCAGCAGTGCACATTCATCAGATCCATCAAGATCCCAATTCAAGATCAATAGCGAATCCCTTCTCCAGCTGGCAGTTTTTGCCAATGATCCATTGGGGATATACATGCCGTCATGATTTACAAGCAAACTGCGATATAGCTCGGCTCATCTTGCACGGCCATGCAAGTTAGGAACGCCGCAAGATTCAAATGGGCATGCTGATTGACTAACTCTGGTAACCAAGAGGATTAAAACCGTATGGACTTTTGTTTTAGATTACATCGAATTAAGTGCTTGCAGTCCCCTGTCGATTTTACCCTTCCTACAGGAAATACAGTTGACTAATTACGCAAGTCTACTTAGAATAACATTAGCACACATCAACGTTTAACCGTTCAACTTCAATTGATCATTCTTACTATACTTTCTTCTTTGACTTGAAGCTATTGTGGCTTTTGTTCCTATATAAACTGATTTAAACTGACTTTTTATGACAGTGATTTTAACAATAATCGATGTCTTTCCCTTTTAGGTCATGAACAAAAATTGGTTTGATGTCTGTACAGTTTCCTAATCATCCTTTGATCAGCGTTCTGTACAGGCCCGATATTTATTGAGTTTGCCTAGATGGACCTGTCTCGCATTATCAGGAATAAACTTCTATTTATTTATTTCGTTTGTTCATTATTGAAATACGGAAATATATTCTAGACAACCGCCTAGTGAATATGAATAAATGTTCTATAATCTGATGACTAGAGCAAAAGCATTTGGAGACTTAAATCAGAAGATGTCGCTTCGATGTTCTCATGAAGAAGTTCCTTTTCCATAATCCTTTGAATAGTTGGCATAATATGTCAGAAAGCTAGACCTTGCCATTAATCACAAGCTCAAAATGAATAATACTTTGCTACTTAATTACCCTAAGGGCGACAAGATACTTTACAGTATGAGAGTAAAATGAACTGTCTTATTTCGATTTCATTTAGTTTCTCGAAACTAAATTAAAAGCCAAGAATAGGAGCTAATAAGCATTTAAAGCGGCGCTCTCTTAGGGCTCATCAGTGATGAGACTTACCCCGGTTCCCTGCTTTGGGTCAAACAAATGAACGCTAGTGACTTGGGCCAGTAACCAGCATCGTTTTTAACTGAGCCATGGGCGACTATGGCCAAGCATGACCGATTGAAATCCAACTGCGATATAACTGGACCCAACCTCCACTGCCATGCAGGTTACTGTCCGTGCAGAGGAGAGTGGCTGGTCATCCGTTAACAGGGCTTCCTTCGCCAGTGCTTTGAATCCACACAGCATTTTGAAATCTGATGGAGCATAATTTTGTATTACTAATGATTTTGCTTGAGACATTCTAAACTCCATACCAAGTCCTACTGAAGTTAATTCTAGCCGTTAATTGGTTATATCATCTAACCAGGTACTCGATGTTCTGCAATCTAATGACTTAAGGCTACACTCAGATGAGCGAAAGTAGTGTGCGTTCTGCTGTTCAACTTGTGCGTTGTGCAGTTTTTGCTACTTTCATCCATACTTCGGGAAGTTTACAACAAGCCTGCTACCACCATGGACAAATAAGTGCATATAGACATTGG